GTCTTCGCTGCCCACCACTGTTCGCGATCAATGCGTAGACTTTTTTCCAGTCTACTTTTAAGTTGCGCTCGCTCTTCATTGTACTCAGAGCCTGCAGGCAGGGATGCGTTCACGTGCATCCATTAGTTCGGAAGAAGCTGTTGATATCCACTGGCTCTTTGTAGCCACTTTTTCGGAGTCGGTTACAGTATTCAGTGCTGCTTTTACAGCAGACTGAAGATGCACCAAGCTTCTTCTGGATGGGTGACAGTCTTTTGTTCCGTTAACTGCCTAGTCAATTTCTCACCGAAAGCGGCTTTAGCGTTTTCGTTATCGAGCTACACTCGTAATGGTTATGTTGCCAAATGTTTCGTACATCCATTGAGACGCAGGTATATACATATACACGCTCGGACCAACACGTGGTCGCTGCCCAAACACCTGCTCCATAAGGAGCGACAGTCTCTCTCCAGCGATAACTGGTAGAAATGTCGTCTGCCTGTGTCACCGCCGAGTTCAGCTCGGTGGACGCCACGTCAGACTGTCTTTCTTCACGTCTGAAATTTGTGCTAGCTGGAAATAAATGGTTACCTGAGCACAGTTGTAGTAGGCGATCACCGTTATCTGTACGTTCAGCTGGGATTCCGAAAGTGCCACCTAAGTGCCTTTCTGCCTCACTCAGTCTACCCACCTGTGCATTGAAATCATCTGCATCAACAACCACGTCTGAAAGTGTGGCTTTCGAGAGGAGGCTAGAAAGTTTTCGGTAGAACTCATCCTTCACTTCATCCGAACTGCAGTCAATGGGTGTTTGAGCAGAGATTACAAAGAGACAACGGCAAGTCTCACTATTCCTTTTAGTTCTCACTGTACCGTCTAGTCGGATAGCGCAGAAGCGACTATCAACTGTGATCCAGTCTAATAGTGAGTTTTCTGCCCTAGTGCTTAATGCTACGCCTACACCTGCAAGACCATGAGAGCTAGCCATCAAATCTCCAGAAACTCGAAGGGTGAATTTTGCACATTCACCAGATTGGTCAGGAGAGGTTAGGTGAATAACTGCACTTGGGTCGGGTCGTGTATGCAAGTCTCACAAACACAGCACACATCCATGGTCCGAGTTGCTAGAGTATTAGCCGATGAAGCCTGATGACCAATTTGACGGAGGGTGCGGGCATTGAAGGCCTCGATGTGTAATTTGCAGTGTAGTTCAAGGAGACCAGAGATGCTGTTCTGTGGACTCAGATCGTTGTCGAAGACTGCAGAGCTGGGAGAAATTGAAGATGATGTAGTATCGTTAGTTGAGAGACGTGAAGAAAGATTAGAAGGTAATGATGAGGGAGATGGATAGCAGTACGGAGGAACTTGAGTGCTGATAGAGTTGTGAGGGCGGTTGATACTTTGCGGCTGCTCACACCGTGGAAGGTTATTTCTTCTTAAGGTACCTGGAAGAGATTTGTGTGACGACAGAGCCCGTCGGACGTCTGCTGGAGGCCTGTCACCCACAGCCTTTTGTGTATGGTTATTTTTGGGGCTGACCTTTCGTGACCCCCCCTCTTCCACTGAGAGGGCGGTATCAGCATGGCACTGCTGGTCATCCAAGGGAAACACCTTACTGCTGTCACACCCCATCCAGCTAGTAGTAGTACGACCTCGCTGTCAGACTCCCATCATAGTGTGGTAATTTACACCACAACGGTAACTGCTTTCCGTCTAACCACTACCCAACAGACCTTTCTGGTATGGTTGGACCTCGAGGGAACAAGCGTCCCACCAGCATAGCTCGTTGGGTCATTGTGATATGCCAGCCCAATAACCACGTCAAGGTAGTAGCTATCGATCGGGATAGCGGTAACAAATAATTAAGCACAGTAAAAGAGGTGCTAGATATTGTTTGGGAATTAGCGGTAGTCCCTTCGAAGTAGTCTGCTTCATTGATCATCTCATTTTATAGGAAGGGAGAGAAGTCTTCATGTGACAAACATATGGAAATCAGTTTGACTAACATCGTTCCAAAATGATTGAGTCCATATTTACCCAACGCCTAACTGGAGATCGAGAACAACAAATCGGAGAAAACCAGGCAGGTTTCAGACCTGGACAAGTGTGAGTCGATCAGATTTCCACCCTTCGACAGGTTCTGGAACACGGGCATACTTACCGGCGTCCGATGCCTGTCATACTTCCTGACATGAAGTCGGCATTCGACTCCGTCGACTGACAAGTGTTGTGGAGGTGTATGTGTGTGAGGGGAGCACCGAGGAACTATGTTACGCTCATCGAAACTTTTTACTCGAGCTCATCTAGTCGTGCATGGGATTATGGAGAGTTGTCAAGTGAATTGACGATATCTAATGTTTTCCACTAGGGTTTCCCACTTTCACTGTTCCTGTTCAACAAGGTCATTATAGAAGTACCAATGGACATAAGCGTAGGTACAACTGACTTCACATGGATTGATCTACTCACTGGAATGTCTGGTTGACTTAGAGTATGCAGACGATATTGTCCTGCTAAGTGAAGGTGCTTACAAAATGCAGAGTTTCCCGTACGCGTTGGGCAGAAATTTAAGTATGTTTGGCTGGTATGCGTTTTGCACCTGTCAAATGTAAGATGATGCATCAAGACTGGTTTGCACCTACTCCCAGATTATGGATATGGAGTGAAGTTGTGGAAAATGTCAGCCACTTGTCTAAGTTGGGGAACTGCATCAGTCGGAACGGGTTGGTTGTGGTTGAGATCTCAGTCCGGATGCAGAAGGGCTCGTTTGGCGTTTCCAACTTTTGTCTACGTCGTATCAACTGGTATTTTATCCGACTTTGCTTCAGGGGACGAATATACTGCGCTGTATTTGTGTGTGTGGTTGTGAAGCATGCCCGTGAAAATCACAGGACGTGACGTGATTACTTGTCTTCGTAACATGCCTAGGGTGCTGTGGAGTCAGCATATGAGCAGTACTGAGGTCAGGGAAAGGGTACTAGGCAAGAAGAATAATGAGGTTGTGAACCTTAGTCAACTGAGATGGCTTTGACATGTCCTGCGCATGCCAAGCCACTGTCTATGTGATTGTGGATGGGATCAAAGTTCGGATGGTGAAGGCTGGTTTTGCATTGAACAACATACATCACTTCTGGAGCTGGCTGGCTAGATGTCGGGAAATCTGTTGGAGGACAAGTATAATGCAATGTAGTTCATTCTAACTCTTGATGCATCTGGCTTTTGAAATTGGAGAATGTCAAGAGGTTAAAGGTTTTCGAACACATGTTTTAGCAGCAGTGCTCACTCATGGTGGAACCAGTATTGAGTAAGGTCAAGGCTAGGCAAGGAGCATTAGACAATTCAGTCGATGCTGTTGTGAACTTTCATCGAGTGAGGTGACTTGGACATGCGTTACGTATGCCACACCATCACACACTGGGTTAAAAATATGACTTTTGATGATGCGGCTGAAAATCAGTCACAATGGGGCAGATATATTGACTTCTTGACACCTTCTAAAGCTTGAATACCTACATCAACCTTTATATTCAAATTGTTTATTCCCTGATACGACATTTTCTAGTTTGGTATCAGTTTAGTCCTACTAACCTGTTCTTTGAAGACGACTGAAATGTGGCAACTAGAACCGATGCATTTGTGTGTGAGGTTCTATGTTGACTTCGTGTGTCGGTCCTTGTCTTCTCATCAGGTCGGAAAAACTAACAGGACGTGGCAGAAGAGCACGAAACCGAATGCCGAACATTATCTGCAAGGATTATTAAATTTTGCTTCCAGGAATGAACTCTTGGTATTGACTTAAAGAAGAATTGGTGTCTACGTCACGAAAAAAGTCGTCCAAGACAGAACCAGACAAGGTCTACTGGAAGAGGACTAATATAGGACCTCAAACCACAAAGGCGAATCAGCCTTCATTGGTGAAAGTCAGAGAAGTTACGTAAAAATGGGAGATTGTGCGAACTGAGGAAGACGAAAAAAGAAGGGAAAATCGACAATGAGAATATCAAAGTCAATCAAAAACAGTTGGGAAAGGCCAAACGGGTGGAAGACGTTATACTTCCCAACTACCATCGCCTCGCTTCAACACCCAGGCTTGTACGCGATCATGAAAACTCCGTTGCCCTGCTTTAAACATTACTGCAATCACCGTTACATTCATTTATGCTTTTAATTTAGTCAAACACTGACACGAGCGTCTATTGCATCAATCAAATTTGGGTTCATTTTAAATTTCTAGTTACAAGTATAAAATTAGCCACCATTCACGATAAATAAATAACCTATGTTACATATATCATTTAAATCCGCTAGTCCTATTCATGTTATTTTTTTGATATCTTGCTTTTGAGCACATATTTTCATCATAACACGTTGATAATAAAAGAGGCTTCCAGCTAATTTAATATCAGCATCTAAATAAAAACTTATACAAAATCTTTTGTACGAACAATATTTGTCGTAAATAATCCATGAAACAGTGCCTAGAGATAATGCTTTTACCGGAACTAAAAGACTTTCAAACACTGCGTAACAGTTTCGAACAACGCTCCACCTAACAAGGTGTAGACAATAACCCACAATCGGCTGGTGTGGAAAGAATTAATAGAGCACACTTCTTTACACTTAAAATGAACGAAAGACCAATGTACAACGATTACTAAGTACCTGATATTCCACAGCATCATTATTCTTAATCTCTTTTAAAAAGCTTTAACGATCTCACGTAAATCAGCTTCACAAAATGTTCGTATATAGTTGCCTCAAAAGACAATATGTATGATGATGTATAACTAAAGAAAAGAGGTACCGAAATGTATGTCGACCACTCATAACTGTATAAAAATGCATGCAATTTACAAATGAATTCTATCAAAAGTACAAAACAGGAAGAATGCATCCAAATAACTCATCCCAAAACAAGATGATAATTGTCTATACAGTTTTACGTTGTTCTTCGTGAGAATAATGCCAAAACACAAAAGATATACACCCAGCATCCCAAGTTGCCTTTAGAACTGTATCATTTAGTGTTTTTTTCCCGTAACAATGATTCCATTGAGAAAAATCTGAATTACAATCTGTACCTTCTGGTGGAGGTTTATTTGAACTGAATTTACACAACGGCGACACTTAAATCTGAAGCGAATTGTTGGATTGAAAAAAACATTATGATTATCTGAACAGAATTATTAAAGTAAATACTAGTGAACTTCAAAGAGAAATATCACTAAAATAATATGCTTACTGCTGTAACACCCTACTGATAGCTGCTACCTAGACGCGGTGGTTAGGTTAGCACATCACAATGACTTAATGAGACAGGTTGACTGAAATGAATGATCCCTACAGTGACTATCATGCCAGAAATGTTCATTGCACACTACTAAGTCAAAAAGCAGGTACCCTTAGAATGTAAACTTCTATGCTACTATGCAAACCTGAAGGCTCAATATTACTGCTGACTGCACAAGGTGGGACAGTAGTATGATGTTTCCCACAAATGACAAGCGTTTCATCCTGATCCCCACTTGTCTATCTCAGTTAGGAAAAAAAATTTTCACATGATTCCCTGCAGTGACGTGCATCAGTGATGGGAGTACGTGAATTCCGTCTCCAGCGTCAGTACAATGAAATGTTAGCATACCAATCCTTAAGTGGATGTGCGATAGGCGTTCGCGGTTGCCCTAATCAATTCCTTCTTCAAACGCCTCACAGAAACAACCTCCATGGTGTGGGTAACTCGGATTCACAAACCACCAGCTTGCTTCCAGCAGTTTGAAAACCCAATCGAATATGAATAAACCAAAGACCCTGCTAATGTCTCCTCCCTTACGTTTCCTGAAGCCAAAACTAAGTCTCGATCAACACTGTCAACAAAGCAAATGGAAACCATTGCTAGTGATTGCAAGGAGCAAAACACTAGCCCAAGTCTCCAAGAATCCCATTCATGAATTTCCAAAAGAGCTTCAAAAAGAGACAGACAAACTCAACGCAGAACCTCATACACAAATGCATCGGATCAATTTCGAACACCTCATAGTTACCTAACGCTTACGCCTTCTCCATCTCTCTCACTGTCGCCACCCACCATTCCTCGCGATCGACGCCAACACTTGTGCAACTTACGCTTAAGTTGCTTTTGCTCTTCGTCGTGGTCAGAGCCAGTTGGGATGCATCTTTTCGCATTAATCAGTCCGAGTGACGGTGCAGGAATCCACTGACGTTTGGTAACCTTCGAGTGTAGGTTACCAACTGTCTTTACAGCTATTCCCACAGTGGACTTTATATCACACCAGGTTTCCTCAGAGTGAGGACTGCTGTCACGTTCAGAAAATGCTTCGATATCTTCTCCTTAAATACGTAATTGATATTCTCATCTAAGAACCGAGAAAAGATGCACCTCACTGCATCATGTGGCCAGTAAGGTGTACGTCTTACACGAGCCTATGCTGGAGCATGATAGAAAACTAAAAAGGTATTCCAGAAAGATCGACAATTCCCCACCGACGCTATACAGCAAGGTGATCGGACTTATAGCTGCTACCTTGACTTGGTTATCGGGCTGGCATATCACAATGACCCAGCGAGCTATGCTGGTGGAACACTTGTTCCCTCGAGGTCCAACCACACCAGTAAGGTCTGTTGGATAGTGGTTAGACGGAAAGCAGTTACCGTTGTGGTGTAAATTACCACACTATGATGGGAGTCTGACAGCGAGGTCGTACTACTACTAGCTGGATGGGGTGTGACAGCAGTAAGGTGTTCCCTTGGATGACCAGCAGTGCCATGCTGATACCGCCCTCTCAGTGGAAGAGGGGGGGGTCACGAAAGGTCAGCCCCAAAAATAACCATACACAAAAGGCTGTGGGTGACAGGCCTCCAGCAGACGTCCGACGGGCTCTGTCGTCACACAAATCTCTTCCAGGTACCTTAAGAAGAAATAACCTTCCACGGTGTGAGCAGCCGCAAAGTATCAACCGCCCTCACAACTCTATCAGCACTCAAGTTCCTCCGTACTGCTATCCATCTCCCTCATCATTACCTTCTAATCTTTCTTCACGTCTCTCAACTAACGATACTACATCATCTTCAATTTCTCCCAGCTCTGCAGTCTTCGACAACGATCTGAGTCCACAGAACAGCATCTCTGGTCTCCTTGAACTACACTGCAAATTACACATCGAGGCCTTCAATGCCCGCACCCTCCGTCAAATTGGTCATCAGGCTTCATCGGCTAATACTCTAGCAACTCGGACCATGGATGTGTGCTGTGTTTGTGAGACTTGCATACACGACCCGACCCAAGTGCAGTTATTCACCTAACCTCTCCTGACCAATCTGGTGAATGTGCAAAATTCACCCTTCGAGTTTCTGGAGATTTGATGGCTAGCTCTCATGGTCTTGCAGGTGTAGGCGTAGCATTAAGCACTAGGGCAGAAAACTCACTATTAGACTGGATCACAGTTGATAGTCGCTTCTGCGCTATCCGACTAGACGGTACAGTGAGAACTAAAAGGAATAGTGAGACTTGCCGTTGTCTCTTTGTAATCTCTGCTCAAACACCCATTGACTGCAGTTCGGATGAAGTGAAGGATGAGTTCTACCGAAAACTTTCTAGCCTCCTCTCGAAAGCCACACTTTCAGACGTGGTTGTTGATGCAGATGATTCAATGCACAGGTGGGTAGACTGAGTGAGGCAGAAAGGCACTTAGGTGGCACTTTCGGAATCCCAGCTGAACGTACAGATAACGGTGATCGCCTACTACAACTGTGCTCAGGTAACCATTTATTTCCAGCTAGCACAAATTTCAGACGTGAAGAAAGACAGTCTGACGTGGCGTCCACCGAGCTGAACTCGGCGGTGACACAGGCAGACGACATTTCTACCAGTTATCGCTGGAGAGAGACTGTCGCTCCTTATGGAGCAGGTGTTTGGGCAGCGACCACGTGTTGGTCCGAGCGTGTATATGTATATACCTGCGTCTCAATGGATGTACGAAACATTTGGCAACATAACCATTACGAGTGTAGCTCGATAACGAAAACGCTAAAGCCGCTTTCGGTGAGAAATTGACTAGGCAGTTAACGGAACAAAAGACTGTCACCCATCCAGAAGAAGCTTGGTGCATCTTCAGTCTGCTGTAAAAGCAGCACTGAATACTGTAACCGACTCCGAAAAAGTGGCTACAAAGAGCCAGTGGATATCAACAGCTTCTTCCGAACTAATGGATGCACGTGAACGCATCCCTGCCTGCAGGCTCTGAGTACAATGAAGAGCGAGCGCAACTTAAAAGTAGACTGGAAAAAAGTCTACGCATTGATCGCGAACAGTGGTGGGCAGCGAAGACTAAAGAGATGGAAAAGGCGTGGGCGATTGGCAACAGTAAACTTATTAAGGAGACTGGGGGGAAAAGTCAACAACAGTTAGTGAGGCTATAGCGGAGAAGAACGGATCTGCGATTCACTCGCAGGGGAGACGACTGGAACAATGGACAGAACACTTGAAGGAACAGTTTAACTGGCCTCCAGCCACGATTTCGTTGACCGCTATGTAGTCGGATGCTGAATGGAACATTGAGATAGGCCCCCAACACTAGCAGAAGTCGAAAAAGCAGTAGGTAACGTGAAACTAGGAAGGGTGGCAGGACCAGACGGACTAACTCCTGGCATATATATACAAGGATGGTGGTGCAGTGCTCTTAGTCAGGTTAACGGAAGTGTTAACCAGTATATGGGAACCAAGTACGATCTCCTCTGACTGGTCTCAATCACTGTTTATCCCAGTCTTCAAGAAAGGCGAGAAGTCCTCTTCTGATGACCACAGAGGAATCAGCCTGACGGATATAGTGTCCAAGATCCTAGGTTCTATAGTTCTCCGACGCCTGAGTGAAACTGGGAAACAGCAAGCTCGAGAAATGCAGACAGGTAGGCTGTAGACCTGGTCGTGGGTGTATCGACCAAATATCCACACTGCGCCAGGTCCTGAAACATAGATACGCTTACCGAAGCCCAAAGCTGGCTGTATTTCTCGACCTGAGGGCGGCGGAAATCGACTCTGTTGATCGAGAAGTCTTATGGCAATGTCTCTCACTCAAAGGTGTGCTGAGTAAGTACATCACCTTAGTGAAAGCTCTCTACTCAAACACTTGTGGGCGTGTTAGAGCCTATTGTGAGTTGTCGAGATAGCTTTGCTCATCGAGTAGTGTCCGTCGAGGGTGCCTACTGTCTCCATTCTTATTCAATTTTATCATAGATATTCTTATGGAGGTCTTCCTCTCGTCACCTAATTACACAGAGGTTGACCTAATCACAGGTGAATTTTCGTTAGATCTAAAATATGCAGATGACATAGTCCTGTTAGGTGAAGACGCAGACAAGACACAGAGTCTTCTGAACACTTTGAATGGGAATTTGAGAATGTTTGGGCTGCGTTTCCCACCACACAAATGCAAATAGTTGCTCCAGGATTGGTCTTCAACGGTGCTGCGGCGAACAATAGAGAGTGCAGCGGCTGAGCATGTCGACCACTTCATTTACAAAAGGCTCGATTGGCTTTTGCCGATTTACGCCACCCATGGCACCGGCGTAACCTCGCCTGGTTAACTAGTTCACTAGTTACTAGCCAGTCCTAAGCCCACATAAAGAGGGAAGGTTGGGCACAAGGCTAGCAACCCTACCCCGTAAAACAAATCTAACCGCCAAAAAAACTTCGAAACACAAACAAAATATAAAAAATAATAACAAAATTATTCCTCGCTGGAATCGGGGAGGCGAAATGACGCCAGTTCGTGAAAGCCTGCCTTCGGGAAGCCAATTAGCCGGACCGATGTGTCTCTCTCTCTCTCTCGATGAAAGCGAAAGTAAACATGGGGACATGGAATGTCCGCACAATGTTTGAACCCAGCAAGGCAGCCCAGATTGCAAACGAGATGAGAAGGTATCACATTGAAGTGTTAGGAATTTGCGAAACTATATAGAATGGAAGTGGACTCTCCAAACTGTCATCTGGAGAATCAATAATCTACTCCGGTCATCCAGACGACAACCACAAACACACTGAGTTATGGAGTGGCTATCATGATGTCCCCAACAGCATCGAAGGCTCTCTCTTATGCAGTAAGAACCAATCTCCTCCA